TCTTGATTGGCCTTATTTTTTAGAGTTAATTTATGAATACGTTTTTCCAGGAAATATTATTCTGAGCATTGAAATTTTAGTTTCAGTGTTGCTATGCTGCTAAAAGATTTTGCTATTTGGCCCCAAGTGTACGGCGTTCAGTCGATTTTTTCTTCTTCTTTTTTTTGCCGAATATTTGGTTTTTGATCAAATCACAATTCATTACCACATTCGACCAAATCATATTCGTTGCGGAAATAAAAACGAAGGAAAAATAACTAGGATTTACGATAAAACTGTACCATAATACCGTATCAAAAAGTGATTATTTAATTGCGTTATTAACAATCACGTGTCGTAATATCATAGTTAAATAACGGGATCATCAAAATCACGAGGAAAAGTATAGAAATAATTAGGAAAAAATATATTTATGCTAAACTCAGCAGGAATAAAGCGCGTCAAATGCATGATTTAAAATTTGCATGTCGTAACAGAATAATTGGAATTTTTCGTAATACGTGGGAACGCATAGCAATAACTGCCGCGAAAAATTTTTGAAAAAAAAAGAAAGAATTTCAAAAAAAAAAAAAAGAAAAAATCACTTAGATTTAAGATGAAATCGTCACAAATAAAGTGCACAAAAAGTGATTATTTAAATTTGCGATCTGAAACTCGCGTCGTAATAAAAATTCGGAATTTTTCAAAATCACGTAGAAAAGCGGAAATAACTGTTTAAAAAAATCATTTATATTTACGATAAATTCAGCTTCAAGAAAGCGCGTTAAACGTACATTTACTAAAGAATCTGAATCTGTTAAAATTGATGGTGTCAAAACGTGATGACTTAAAAGTACGATTAAAAATTCCCATTTTTTAAATTTTTTTAAAATTGTGTTTAGAAGCTCTCGCTCGTGGGCCGCACTGCAGTAGTCGAAGGGCCGCATTTGGTCCGCGGGCCGCAGGTTGTGCACCCCTAGTGTAGACCATGAATCTTGAATCATTAAATATTTCGACACTGAAGAAAATGCTTCATTATAGTAACGAAACAACCGTATGTAACACTAACTGTTTATGTCAAAAATGCACGCAAACTATATTTGTGTTTAAAGTAAAGATTGCACGACTTATAGCAAAGCACAAATCTATATGAACCTATTCTTTTAGCTTAGCTTTTAAATACTAAAAATGAATGAACTGTGATTCTATTTTTTATTATTTTCTAGTCTCCTAATTATACATTGAAATATACCCTTGCTGGTCATTCCAAAGCAATAAGCTCCGTAAAATTTAGTCCAAGCGGTGAATGGCTTGCAAGTTCCTGTAAGTATATTTTTCATGGTTTTTTTTTTATATTTCAGTGTAAAATATTATGTACATTCCTTTGTTACTATACCTTCCTTAGTTATTTAAAAAAAAAATTGCTGCAGTGGTAACTGTTGCTAATAAAGTTCTGCTGCAAATCGCTGTTTGTAGTATTTTTATTTTTTAATAAATTCTTTATGCTGCAAATTTATGAATTATTTGAATATAAAGAAATTATCAATTCTTTAATATTGATATCTAGAATATTAAAATTATTGCGTTATAGAAACACTCTGTTTACCAAATAAATGAAGTGTTTTTTTATTTCATCTAATCTGTAGGACTGGGCTATAAATCGATGTATCCCGACATATTGATTTAATGCATATATCAGCAAGCTGATACAACAACTTTCACTTCAGGCGATGCATCATAAATCTGATTTAAGCCGTAGACTAAAGACTACTAGCCCAAAACGATGTATCGATTTAAGACGCGAAAGGATCTTCTTGCAACTGATACCGACTCGCACTGTGGAAGACGATTTTCGTTATGTTGAAATGGCCTTGATTGATGAGTGGTAGAATCAGAACCATAGTTTTGAGAATATATATTGTGATCTCGTATGTTAGTTTTCGCGCCTCATATTTTTCTTTGTCGCGACTTGATATCGTTTCTCGTAGATTATTTGAGTGAGACTGACTTTGTGATCGCCGTCGTTACCTTGTTCTGAACATAATCTATTATTGAAAAAAATGTATAAAGAAGTGTTTCTTAATTACTTAGATAAATTTTTTTTTAAAACAAAACTTTTATTTTTAAATGCAAAAATTAATTTTGATATTATATGTTTAAGTAATTTTTTACATTATTGAATTTATTACAATCGGAAATCTAGTTTAAGGTGCCCATAAAGCATTAAATTACAAAGTAATTAAATTTGTTAGGCTATTTTTTACTTTATTTTAATTTATGAAAAACTGTTTGGATAAAACTTCTAATAATTTAATGGGTTTTTATTACTGATTTTAAATTTATAAATCTTTAGTTGTTTTATTTTTATAAATAAAATTATAACAAAACTTATTTTTTCTCTTATGGATTTGGACATAAGTCAATCAACTTTGTTTATTCCAAAAAATTAGTAAGGTTTTTGACTTCGTTTTTTTTTTTTTTTTTAAATAATTTAGCACTTTGTTTTATTAAAGAGTGTAATCGTGTTTTTCAATTTTCTTTCAATATTGTCTGTTAAATATACTATTGAGTATCATAATTCTTTTGTTTTTATTTTTAAGAATTAAACCTTACTTTGTTTCTTCGTTCAGAATATGGTAATTATTCCATTTAACTTAATTATTTATGTGAAATAATAATGATAAAAAATAGTGTTTTAAAAGCATTTTTTTTTTAAAATTTTTTTAGCACTTTGTATGTTTTAAGCATACAAATAATTTTTAACGAGCTTATTTTTTAAATTTTCTTTCTATATTGTTAGGTAAATATATTGATAAATTTCAATTTTATTTATTTTTTTATTATTTATTTTTAAATTAAGAAATCTTTCGTTATTTGTGCGATCATTTTTAGAAAATGTAACATTAATATCCTTCTTAAGCAAAACATATAATTATCTTCAAATTCATAAGTTGATTTAAATCAATCTGAGTATGAAGTTTTGATAGAAATCCGACTTTCTGTGCCTTACAAGTAAATGAAATTCAAAAATACTATATTGCGATACATCACTTTATAGCGATACATTGCTATATCGCGATGCAAAACTGACGATGCATCACGATATAAAATTTCTATGTCGCCCAGTCCTGCTAATCTGTTTATTTTTAAATTTTATGATGAAAAATAATTTGTGAACAGAGAATTACAGGATATTTCATCATTTAAGAAAAAATCACTTTTAAAAATTGGAAGAAAAAGGGCATTTTATATTTCTAATTTAGGAAAAAAACTTTCAATTTAAAAAATTTTTACTTATTATTGAAAAGTGTCTTTTAATCATTAACAATTAAGATAATGCATTTAATGTTATTTTCTTTTTTTAAAGCTGCTGACAAACTTATTAAGTTATGGTGTGCGCAAGATGGAAAATTTGAAAAGACTATACCTGGTCATAAGCTAGTAAGTTTTTTTTTTCTGTGGTTTTTTTTTAAGGGAAAATTTTTTTTCATTTACAGAGTCCTAATTTTTTCTTATTTTAAAGCCATTAAGATACATTTCAGTATATTGGTACTAGCATAGTAATGAAATTTAAGTAATCACTCTCAATGTTAGGTACTAGTTGTTATTAATATAATAAAAAATATTGCTCTTTAAATTAGAATACTCTTACTCTTAAGTACTCTTTTAATTAGAATTAGAAAAATAGTCATGTTGCTATGCTCTTAAAGCTTTTATTTCATTATAGTGTTGATGAAGAACTTTTTTACTATGCTATTAAACACTAATCCTAGCGTATCTATAATATGCAAAACATTAATGTGTATGTATATTAATATTCAACCGATGAAATTTCTTTTTTGTCTTGATGTCAAAGAATTGTAAGATTAAGCAAGTGAACAGTTGTAAGCATTAAAAAGAGAACATTTAATGTGGCTTTTAAATATATTTCAAGTCATTTTTAGCATGGGCAACAAAAGTTTAAATATGCTATTAGTTGAGTAGAAATGTCAAGTTTAAAAGGAGTAGCTTGTATAAACAAGTTCATACGACTGCCCTGTATCAAAAATATCGGGAAAAAATTATTATTATTTTTTTTTTTTAAGAGAGATTTGTTTTATAAATTTATTTATTATAATTATTTATTGTAAGTTTTAAGTTTCTTGTGATCATTTCTATTACACATTCTAAAAAAGATGTTTTTATACAAAAATTTGTTGTAATTACAGTGTGTTTGTAAGTGTTGCAACTAGTTGCAATTTTTATTTTTGTCATTTTTTGTTCTGACATTCTATTTTTTGTTTAACTTATTTCATTACTATTTTTTTCCAAATTTTTAGACATGAAGCGCTGCTAGGTCACCAGATTCAAAAATAGTTTTTCTTACTTTTTGCTAATAGTGAGTGTTAGGTTAAGTTAAAAGTTAGAGATCAAAGAATTTCTATTCCCAAGCTTCTTATTAGATTAATTTAGTTTTTTTTTTGAGTTATTATTATTTTTTTTCTTCATTGTGATTGCTTTACATCTAATCAGGGGTTATACTATATTATTTTTTTTACCTTGCTGTCTTTCATGTGAATTTGATTACTTTACTCTTACAGCAGATTATATACCAATTTAAATTTTGGATCAGTTTGTTAATAGTTACAATTTTATAGTCTAAAAATTTATCATGAGGGAAAAGGCATAGTTTTTCTTATTGTCTGTTATTGTTTTTCCTTAGTACTGTATTCTCTTCCACATTACATTTCAACTAACATTAAATTTAAAACAAGTTAATTAACAACAATAAGTTTTTGCAAGATGTAAAGAGACAATGAAATGAAGTGAAATGGCTTCACTGATAACACTAAATGTTGATCTCAATAATTAGCTATAAGATGGAAAATAGGCGGCATGATAGATTATGATCAACAAAAATAAAGATGCATTATTTGAAAGTATGCAGCTGAATTTCCAATGTATTTTTTTTTTTTTTTTAAAGGGATTAAGACAACTTAGTCGGTGGCTATTTGTTTGCAACATAAACATTTCAATTTAAGATTGTAAATGAAAACAAAGTGAAATGATGTTTGTTTTTCACTTTTCTATATTGAACCAGAAATGAAAAAAATGTCTTTTATTTGTCTCTATTTCGAGTATACATTGCTCACTTTAACATAACAAGTACACATTGCTCACATAGTATATATTGCTCACTTAAACATACAAAAAAAAACTTTTTTTTTTCAAAAGCGGAAGGCTAGTAATATTTAACTTGTTACAATCATACATTTATTTTACATTTAATGTTAGCATTTTGAACAGTATCTCATAATATGCTATACTTCTTATATTGAGTAGTATAAAGGAGTAATAATAGTGCTCTATAAAAGAAAAGAAAGATCAGGACAAAATATGTTTTTTTAGGAATATTAAGAAAATTTTGATCTTCACTAAAATTTAAAGAATTTTGATTCTTAAAATGATCGTATGATAAAATGATCATACTGTAATGTTTAATAAAAGACCATTTTAACCAAGTTCCGAATTCTTTCCATACTGCTTTAATGTACGTTTTTAAGATGCTTACAGAAATAACAGAAACAAAAAGAAATTTTTCTGAGGATGGGGAAAATGTTTCGTTTTACAAAACGCAAGAAAATTTTTTTATAGATGGTAAAAATTATTGGAAAAGCAGATTTTCCCCAAGACTGTAAAAACCATGGTAAATATTGGTAATAGCCTCACATGGTAAATACCATGCTAGCCTGACTAGAAAACAGCATGGGTATAAAAATTAACAGCTGGGCTTCAGCAAAGGTTTTTTCTTTAAAGATGGATGAGTTTTCAATGTGGGTGATGTAATAGATTAGACATTCTATTTAAAATTGTCAAAGAAATATCTTCCTAGAAACTATAAAAGAGAAATAATGGCTAGGGAAGAAAAATTAACTAATTCCCTGGGTCCAACAGCATATTTCATTTTACTTGTAACAAAGGTTTATTTATTTGCTTCAATTTTTAATCTAAAAACTTTTTCTAAAAAAAAATTCCATTCAAAGTGGAAAAAAATAAAAGAAAATTTTGTGACTATTCCTAGAAAAATTTTGGCTCATCATTTCAATATTTCTTTTTGGAATAAGGCATAAGCAAATGATCATGATCAGTATTTTCTTATAAAATCAGCAGGAACCTTGGAAAACTGTCGTATAAATGAGAAAGGCGCATGAAAAAGGTGGTGCATAAGTGAGAAGTTACTGCGCTTATTACAAATAGTAACGCGAATATTAAATTTTTTTAACGCAACAATAATATAGCAAACTTTGATTATTTCTCAATAATTACTAAATTAATTTAAAAATAATTGTTATTTGTCTACCAAATATTCAGTATTTGGCCGATTTTTTATTATCAAATATTCGGCCAAATCACTAATTACTACTGACAAAATCCTTTTAAACTGAAATAACGATTTTAAAATCATACAGGGCTAACCTTATTTAGGTTTGTTTAGCTTATTTTATTTATATAATGTTCCAATTTTATAAATAAAAAAAATACCTAACAATAAATAAAATANAGAAATAAAAATATTTTTCTAAATATCTATTACGATAACAAACTTATGAGGTTTTCAAAATGTAGAATAATTAGAATTTATAAAAATTAATTAGTCGTAAGTAATAATAATAATTTCATAAAAAATGGTTTTATACTTTATTGGTTAGATATTTATAAAATGTTTACCTGATTATAAAATGTTTTAGCTATTTTTCTAAAATAAAACGGAAATGTGGTAATTGTTGTTGTTTTTAGTGGAAATTAGCTAATATTGGCAGTTTATGTAACCCAAGATATTAATTGTTTTAAAAGCAGCAACTAATTTTCATGTTACGTCTTGTTTTAAATTTCTTTTCTTATATAAACATGTCTGGCGTACAGCCTAGTAAAAATGTAAACATAACTAGATATTAAAGTTATGTGTTCCAAAATTTCTGTAGTATAAGTTATAGTGTGTTCTTAAAAACTAGTTTACATTTAATTTTCAATGCTTACATTAATTTGTATGAAAATTTTTGAGAAAATAAAAATTACATATAACATATTTTTATCAAATATTTTACACAAAATTTTTAAATTTTATAACCGGGGACGCAAACCGACCGGGGACACGAGGTCCTCGCCGGGGACAATCCCCGGAAATCGGGGACGTCTGGTCACCCTATGCATAAGTGAGAAGTTACTGCGCTTATTACAAATAGTAACACGAATATTATATTTTTTTAACGCAACAATAATATAGCAAACTTTGATTATTTTTCAATAATTACTAAATTAATTTAAAAATAATTGTTATTTGTCTACCAAATATTCAGTATTTGGGTAAAAGGGAAATGGTTAATAATAATAATATAAAAATAATTGTTATTTGTCTACCAAATATTCAGTATTTAGCCGATTTTTTATTATCAAATATTCGGCCAAATCACTAATTACTACTGACAAAATTCTTTTAAACTGAAATAACGATTTTAAAATCATACAGGGCTAACATTATTTAGGTTTGTTTAGCTTATTTTATTTATATAATGTTCCAATTTTATAAATAAAAAAAATACCTAACAATAAATAAAATAGTCATCATTATAAAAAAAAATGCATAATTTTTTGTCCACTTTCATTTTATTTTCTCCTTTTTATCATAGCTCTTAATCAGCGTGAAAATTACTAAAATACCCAGGCAGAGAAGTGAATAAATTTTAATCTAATTTTTATAATGTTATTTAATTTATGGTTAGACATGAGCCATATTGCTGCAAATATCACCAAGCTTTAACTTTTGCTGCTTTGGATAATAAGTTGATTTGCCCCAACATGAGTGATTTTTTTTGTATTTTATGTATTTCTAATTAGAACAAAAGAAGAACAATTTAAGCTTCTTCATACTATTTCAATTCCTAAATATTCTTTATTTAAAAATTGAAATATTATTTTTAATTGGCGCTTATTTTTAGGGTATATCTGATGTAGCATGGTCTATTGATAGCAGGTTACTTGTCAGTGCTTCTGATGATAAAACTTTGAAGATCTGGGAGGTGAACTCTGTAAGTTTTGGGGTTATTTATCTGAAATTTTAAATTTTTTTCATTTTTTGAAATACTTTTAAAAAATTTATTATTTTAAAAAAGTTTACAAAAATACATGGCATGCATATGTTTATGCTTAAAAACTTTTATAATTGTGTATATTTTACATACTTAGTACATATAGTTTAATAAAAATTGAGTATTGTTTTTAATTGAAAGAATTAAGTATAGAGTTTTTTTTTAAAGCTTTTGGTTATAATGGATATTAAATTATTTTCTATGCATTGACTAAAGACTATTGCAATTTTATTGTGCTGAGTTTTCCTGCAGTGATACATTATTATCATTGATATTTATTAATTAAAGTATGTAAATTTTGTCTTTAAAGTTAAAATGTTCTGAAATAAAGATATCTATTGTAGTTAGAGGTACAAATGCACAAAATAAGTCATATACTATTTCTTTAAAATAATAATGCCCATGGCCATAAAAGTTAGGTTTACTTATGCACTTAGTATATTGCTAGGCTATATTTTTGTTTATTTCCAATGCAGCATGCGATACAGACATTATCCTACAGAGATCAAGAGAAAATACAAATACAGAAAGAGATGAAATATACGAAATACAAAAACAAAACATCAAACACAAAAACTAAATCAAGAACTTAAATTGAACAAAAGTTCTCTGGCCTCCCAGTATCGGAAGTAGATGCAGTTCTTTGTGAGAACTGAACAGTGGAGAAGATGTTCAGCATTCATCGTCGCACTACTGCGGCAGAGGGGGCAGGCAGGATTATCCTCTATTTTAAGACGGAAAAGATGAGCGTATAAGCAATTGTGCTTGGTAGCAAGACGAAAGGCAGCTACAGCACTGCTTCTTGGGCAATCGGGGAGATTAAGGATGTCATTTCCCCACGATTTTTCTTTTGTCTGTTCTTTCAGCAATGATATATGTGTTGTCTTAATTGCATGATTAATCATTAATGAAGTGGACTTTAATCTAACCAAGTTATTTGGGGCTTGATTGACAAACAACTTTTTTTGGCAAGTGCATCAGCTTTTTCGTTGCCGGGAATACCACAGTGGGATGGGATCCATTGTGAGGCAATCGTTTTATATTTTTTACCTATCTCTGTCATTAAAGATTTACATTTCACAATGGACAAAGAGCTAGGGACTTGAGAGTAGTTGGCAATGACCAGAATTGCAGCTTGGGAATCCGAGAAGATGACAGCTTAATCGAAAAGAGAAGGACGAGAGAAAAATTGAGTGCTAGGCTATATAGGCTCAATGATTTACAGACTACAAAACTAACAGGAGAAGTGGCGTAGTTCTTCGCATATTTAAGTTATAAAAACAAAGTAAATTAATTTAAATCAAAACAATTTAAATTTTTAGATTTGATTTTAATAATAAAGTCTCTTTGTTTGGACAATTCATTTTCCAATATTTTATTGAGTTTTGTAATTTTTGAAGAAAAAGCTTTGTTTTTGTGAAAAAACTGCTATATGCAGAAAAATTTGAGTGAACATTTTTCAATATGTTTAAATATGCTGACAAGTTTCTATTATAATATGTTAACTCAGTAGTTTTTTTTTCTTTCTTTTAATTAGGTAAAATACCTGTGTTTTTTTTCTTTGAAAAACTTTAATTACCCTTATAAAGCAATTTTTTTTGGAATAAAGTAAAGTGTACTAAAATTATTATTTACAGTTATATAAATAAGGCTAAAATATTAAGGGGTGAAAGGATGACTTAAAACCAAGAAAAATGTCCTATAAAGGAAAATAATAATTTTTGAAAAAAATGCATTTTTCAGCATCCTAGGCCTGGTTATAAGGAAACAACGGAATTATTTTTAGTATTTAATATTATAAAAAATAGAGCTTTAGACTTTTACTAAAGTTAACATGAAAGTAATTTTAGTTTTGTATTGTATTATAAAGATAATGAGTTTTTGAATGATCCTTATCATATGACAATTATTTAAGCCCAACCACGCCCAAACATGCAATAGAGCTTAACCAATAAAGTTAAACATAAACAAATTTTTGACATTAAAATACTGTCTGTACATTGTTAAATTATTCACATTAATGTTTTATCATTCATCAAATACCCATTTGTAAGTACTTCCATGTATTTTTCTATACAAAAGATTTTGAAATTTTATTGCCCAATGCAGTAACCTTTGTTATTCCATTTCACTGAATTTTCTAGTTTAGGAAGATCTAGTTTAATTTTTTGTTCTTTTTATATTATTGCACTCCAAGAAGGCATGGTATTCTCATTAATTTATTGTCTCTTTATTCACAGGATTTGGATTATCTTCCAGGGGTCTGTTTAGAAGAAATTTGGGTCTGTTAATGAACCCTTCACAAAATATTTTAACTTAAAATCGGACCCTTCACAAAATGATTTTTCTTTTAATCGGACCCTTCACAAATTTTTTTATCTTCTTTATTATTTTGTTAATTGAATAAATCCTTCCCAGAGCAGAAAACATGAAAGATGGATGTAAACGAATTAAGTTTTGTCTTCGGCAGATGATTCTTCAATTATTCATCCGAAATGAATATTCTGCGTTCAGCAGTATAGGCTAAATACCATATATTTGTATGAAGCAACAATTGCTGTTTATTTTTGAAAATTAAATTTTTTTAATTATAATTTTGCAATGCTGAGCATAATCTTGTATCTATTTACAATTTAAAAATGCCTTGAAAAAGTTTTTTGCAATAACCAAGACCCTATTTGCACAAATTCATAAAAGCAGGACCCTGGTTGAAAGAATGAGTAATTTTTTCGCGAAAACAAAACCTTTCACAAAATGTCTGGACAGACCCCTATCTTCGAACTATTTTCTTGTCATTTTGCAATTGATATATTTTACTAATTATTTTATCAGTTATGTATTATCAATTTTGAAGCTTCAAAATAATAAAAAATTGTTATTATTTGAAAAATTTAAAACAAGAAATTCACTTTTTAAACTATTTTTACACAAATTGTAGATTTCCTAAAAAAAATTATATTTGTTAAAAAATATTAATTTGTGTTTATACAGTTATTTATTATTTGTGGTTATACTCCATGAGCGATTTTAGAAGGGTGGCCCACTTCTGTCTACCCTTTGATGCACCCTTTTTGTAAGCCACCATCCCTTAAAAACCCTGCCTTTTTATTCATATCCATTTTAGAAAAAAATTAATTCACTGTTTAAATAATAATTGTTCACTGGTGTTATTATTACCTTATGTATTAACTAAAACTTTTTTCTTTGATAGGGCAAATGTGTAAAGACCCTAAAAGGTCACAGCAATTATGTTTTCTGCTGCAACTTCAATCCTCAATCTAATTTAGTGGTATCAGGTTCTGTAAGTACATGTCAATTTTTGTAAAAATTAAAATTTGTGTTTTGTTATTTAGTTTTAATTAAATTGTTTTATATTGAAAAAAAGAGCAAATTTGTGAATAATAATTCTCACTTTAATTCACTATTTGTTCTTTTAATATTATTATAACAGCATAAACTGAGTAATCGTGCATCAAAGGTGGTAAATTAAGCAAATAAAGAAATTGCTCTAATTATAATGTTAAACCACTTTTGCATTCTGTCAAGTCTGACCCATTTTTCAGAAACAAATACCTTAATTAAAAATGACATTAAGATTTCTGTTTATTATTTCGATTAGACTCTGATGATAAATTAATGTTTGTTAGACTTCTCTAATGGTCTTTTTTTCCTGCTAATTCATATTTTGCAGAAATAATTACTGCCATGGAATATAGTTATTGAAATATCTATTTTAGATGCTAACTATACACTACAATGTACTGTTAGGTTTACAAAGTCTTGATTGTAAAGCCCACTTTTAGTAAGCCTATATTATCTTAAACCTAAGTAATATATTTTCCTGAAAACTGCAAAAATGTACTCTTGAGCTTATTATTGTACTGTATGTACAAAGTTAATCAATTTTATAAATTAATTTATTAAAAAGACTAGTAGAGAGATCTAAGGTTTAAAGACTTGAAAGTACCTATTTATTTGTTATAAGTTTGAGCAACTGATTGATCACACTGGGAACAAATTTCAGTTTATTTTCTGGTTCATAAGATTTTTTAACAGACCTTAGATATTTTCACATTATAAATCTACCATTCATTTCTCTCTCCATGCTACAATTTTAAAAATGCTTTATATTACAGAGTATACATTCCAATAATAAAGAATTAGTCAGTATGTCTCAAACACTGCTAAAAAAAATTTTTTTTTTGTCTGTTTATAAATATGCATTGAAAGGAAAAAAGAAATTTCTATGCTGTGTGTATAATTCATTCTATAATAAATTCTATGTTTAATAAATTTATATAAATTCTATTATGTATATGCAGATACTTCAACCACTGCAGATTATCCGTATTTTCTATGCAAATTTGCCTTTTACCACAAACTACAGGAATTATAATCCATTCTGCAAAGAAGTCATATTTTGATGGTTTTTTGTGGCTGTGGTTTTTTTTTTGTTTTTCAAACCATTTCCCCACTTTTTTTTTTTTTTTTTTTTTTAAATTNAATCTTTTTTTTTTTTTTTTTTTCAAATTTCAATATAATGCACTGTGTAAAACAAAATAATCTTTTCAACCCTAAATCTAATAGCTCTATTTATTGTTCTTAAAACCGTTTCTTCAAGGATTGTCAAGTTCTGATGTACCTAATACATTCGATTTATTTATAGCTTATCATTTTTTGATGCGACAATTCCATCGTAAGTCTACATTGTTTTTTTCAGCAGCCGTTCTCAATTCTTACATGGTTTTTCAAATTCTAATATTTTTAATGTCATAATATTTTAACATGCAAATTTTAAAATTAAATTATCGGTTTCGCAACGATCCTTTCAGATAACCAAGGGATTTTCAAATCATTTTTAGTTTATTTCCACATGCTCTTTTAAATATCTAAAATTCTTGTAAGTTATTACAACATATAAATTTTGGGTTTGAATAATTACTTTTGACACACTCGATTCATGATGATTCTATTATCAATCAACATTGTCTCTCTATCGTTTACTGGCAATTATTAATTGTTTTCTTCGTCATATTTTAAATTTCGTCATTTTTTATGCTATGTTGTTACACATGCGAATTCTGAACTTGAATATTATTTACACTGTTATGTCGTGAATTCATGTTGATATCAGATTATTTCTTTACAGTTGTTATGAAAGTGAGTCATTTTTATGTGTTTATTACAGTTATTTATAATGTTATGGTCCATTTCCTTCTAGTTTTAGAATTTTGAAATTTTGTATACATTATTACAACAAACCAATATCCTAAAATGAGAAAAATCCTAATTTCTTAATTTTTATCGCTAATTGTTTAATGACTTAAGTTTGCTAATACCCATTTTATTGTAAAACTATTGAAATTACTGGAAAATTACTTAAAACTTTCATAATTAGTTGCTACCGAAAACTCTGACCAGAGGTTGGATGGAGTCTCTGTATATGTCTGAATCAATGTGTAATAATGAATTTTTCACACTAGTTTGATGAAAGTGTACGTATTTGGGATGTAAAAACAGGAAAATGTTTGAAGACCCTTCCTGCGCACTCAGATCCAGTCTCTGCTGTAAGTAATATTTTATACTTATCAATATGCAATCACTTAGCATTCTAAATTCTATTGGAATATTCGTCTAGAAATTATCCTTAAAATCATCTGAAGAGAACATTATAAGAAACCCTTTAGAGTACCTGAAACTACATTAGTAATTTGAAGTATAAGGAGATGACTTCTCATAATGTAATGACTTCTATAAGTAAATGACTTCTGATACACAAAAAATTAGCTAAGACGTTTTAAATGTTGGTAAAAAAATTTCAACAAATTATGATAAGATTACTTCCCTTCTCCATAACATCAACTAATTCCTTTCTTGTACAGTGAAACCTACAGCGAAGACCACCTCCATGTAGTAACCTCTTCTTTTTACGACCACTTGGGAGACACAGAAATTTTGTTTTTTTTTTCATATACTTTTTGTTGAAGAAAACCTTTAGCAGAGACCATCAAAACCTCTCTCATCGAGTGGATAAACTTCTGCACGTGAAAAAGGTTTAGTAGGGAAATACCAAAGAAATATCTACACAAAAAATATTAACAAAACAAAATATTTGCGTGCGGCTCTTATTTAGAGAACTCTTTTTGACGATCTCTGAAAGAGATCTACAACCTTATGTTGCAGTAGAGCTGAAAGTTAAATTAAAAAAAGAAGTTATTTTAGAAAAAAAGAAGCATCTCAAACAAACACACCTCTTTTCATTTTTTAAAGCTAACTGATTTATATGATATAAAATTAAATGTAAACTTAAACAAAAAACATAATTGTTAATTTATTTAAAATAGTTCTATCTATTAGTAAATTTATTTTACATATATAGTGGGAATAATTTTTTTTGACACTCAATATTTACGATCTAGTTTTCATAATGTCAATACAAGTGGCATTTCCACACCAAGACCAACCTTCATTAGCGACCATTTTACTGTGGAACAGAGAGTGGTCACTCCCGAAATGTGTCACTGTATATAAAGTTATACTTTATGCACACAAAAAATAATTCATTTAGTGTGTAAATTAAAGATTCCTTTGGTTTTCTTTGTTTTGCCAAAATTGACCAGAAAAGAAATTAAAATAACTTTTTTTTTTTAATCTATTCACATAAGTATTAACTCCAATATATTACTCAAACTGTTAAGGACTTTCCTATATAAGAAAGTTTTTATTATTAATTTTTGTTCTCTATTTATCCATTACTTTATATCTGATACAATTGCATTTTACTAGATTGCTAATTCTTAAAAGGAACTATTATTTAGAAAATCTTGCCCTATAGGATGTAAATTAATTAGGGCTATTTTAATTTCTCTCCTCTGAACAAGATTTTTTTTTATTAACTTTTTTTCATTGTTGTAGTTCTAATGAACGGATATTGTTCGAGTGTCATTATTAACGGCTTGTAGATTCGATTTATGAGAGGGATTATTGTCGATAAAATAATTAGTTTTTATCATGAGTGTGTGTGAAGTAATACATTTACTATTTTAGGTACACTTCAATCGTGATGGGTCTTTAATAGTCTCTAGTAGCTATGATGGTCTTTGGTAAGTTGAATTCTTAATCTAGAAATAATTTTATAAAAATACAATTTTAATTCTTCCTCACCTCCTCTTATTTATTATCATCAATAGAAAAGCTTTAAATGTGTTTATTTTTTTATTGATTGTTGTAAAATGATAAATCTTTAAATTGGTTTTCTTGTGGTATAATTGTATACATACAACTGAAATAAAGCATTTAATGAGTAAGATCTTTATATATTTCTATTACATTGTTCTATAAATTAAGTCTCTGTTGACAACACTTAACATTTTTCTCAAAGCAGGCACTCTATAGTTGAAAGATACTGATTTTATTTTTTTATATTATCTTACTTAGAATTTATATGGCAAGTTTTATGTGATAATGAGTAAATTTTTATGTAACTAACTTTAAAAACTGAGATCATGAAAATATGCTTAATAGATTCGAAAGAAAAAACAGAATATGTTTACTACCAAAAATAGCAGTTGGTGCTTCTTCCACGGGAAAAACGTATATTCCCTCCTGCTTTTGTGACATGATGAGAGGAAAACCTCCCATGGTTAACCTGGCAATATACAGGATTCTAACGCATGACCCACCTACCACTGAGGATAATTTATGTCAGCACGGTTATCCCGTGAACAGAATTTTCGCTAGGATTCAAACACGAGTCCTTATTGGGAGGCAAATGGTCTGACCCACTGCGGCTCTAACGTGTTATTATTTCATATTATAACAGTTGTTGAACAGCCGACCCATTTTTGGATTTGCAATTACTAATGTTCAACTCCATAGCTTTGAAATTTTGAGCCCAATCCAGAAGACAAGGGAACTCGATCAAGTATTGGGGAAAATTTTGCCTTCGTGGAGCACTTTTTGATGGAACTAACCCGAATTTGCGTTACGTGGTGAGGAAAATCGTCAAAATCTCCCACAGTTAGCCTGATGGCAAGGGGACTGTAAGCCATGATTCTGTCTACAACTGAGTATATTTTACGTCAGCACTATACTCGGTGCGAGCCAGATTCGTATCGACTAGCCATTGCTGGGAATCGAGCCTGGTTCACCTCATTGAAAGGCGAACACTCTATCCCCTGAGCCATTGGCATGTTATTATTTTATAACCGGCGTTGAACAGCCGAAGAAATTTTTGGGTTTGCGACTACTTGTGTTTAACGCCGTAGCATTCTGCTGCGTTTATTGTATCTGATGATTATGTAATGTTCTCTTTAATTATTACAGTTTCTCCTCGAACACATACTAATCTAAATTTTATTTGTTAATAGTCGAATATGGGATACAGCCTCTGGACAATGTTTGAAAACATTAATAGGTAAGATGAATAATTTTTTAGTTCCATTTATTAGCCAATCGAGTAATACAATAAAAATTTGATCCATTGATTCCATATCTGTAGTTTTCCCCTATGTATGGTCTTATCTTAATAGTCCCATCACAAATGTTATTCTGATATTGTTAGTAATATCCGTTAAGATAGTTTTTGAAGCTACCCGTACAAATTCTACCTAAATTTTTTAAAAAATAAATAAATATTAAAGTTTATTTTGAAGTGAAAAATAGCAGTCAATTCCTGGTGCTAATGGTAAATAAGAAAATAGGGATTTGTAACAGTTAGGGAAAATTGCATCTAACATTAAGTTTGATTTTCATGAATCAGTTGAAAAAATGTTGAAACTTTAGTTGTTGCCAGTTCAACAAATAGTTAAAGCTGAAGAAGTGCATAGTGATACCAATGAACTGAGTGAAATGACACCACAATCATTGCAAAGGGCCTCAAAGTCTTTTAAATAATGATGAACTTTCTGTATTTACTCGAACTTATAGAAAATGAACAGCAATGTGTTATCAATGTTGAAAATTTATTGTTGGCATTGAAAAGAAAAAAGTGTGTTTAAACCAAAATTTCCAAACGTTTGAAATAAATGAATGTCAATTTTTTCTTTTGAATTGTAAATATTTTTATTGTAAATTCATAATTTTTTTTAGAATTGGTATTACAATTTATTAATTTTCAAATCCATCACTTTGAAACCGACTGAGGACTGAAAGCTCTTATTCGTTATCATATGTCTGACTTGAGTATCTATTCTAATAGGAAAATTATTTCTCTGTAGCTATATCTGGAATTAAGTATTTACATCGAACTTCTTTATTTATTCTTTTTTATCTTTCTTAATATTTAAATAAATATCCTTGTAAATAGTTATTGTCCATTATTTTATTATTTCTACATCTTTGAAAATATTCTAAAAGCAATTTACGGTGTTAAACTTCGTTACTAGGGTACCCTTCTCATAAACGGACAACTCTCATAAATGGACAATTATAAGATTTCTACATTATTTCAATACTTTATTTGTATCTATTGAAATAATATCTCAATTGATTATCTTTATTTAAATTTGAAGAATTTTAATATTGTGCCTCTCTTCAGGCACTTTTATTTTTGTAAGTAAAATAGAAGGGAAAAAAATCTCTTTACTTATATATTATGTAACTATTTTTCAGATGATGATAATCCTCCGGTGTCTTTCGTTAAATTTTCACCAAATGGCAAATACATATTAGCTGCTACTTTAGACAAGTATGAACATTAAAAGTCACTTTTAATTTTAAATATTAATAAAATTTAAGTATTTAGTATTGATCATGATTCTTTTTCAGCACACTAAAGCTATGGGATTACAGCAAAGGAAAAGTAAGTGAAATTTTGTATTGAAATTTAATAATTCATGTATATTAAAGTAGTATTCTTTTTAAACTACTATTACCTGTTATAGATCGATTTCTGCATTTTTTATTTTCGAAACATAATATTCAGGAACTAAGTATTAATATCATAAGGCTTGATACCATTAAGATATATTTATTATTGCCCAATAAGGTGCTCAATGATTATTTTAGCTTGCTTCCTACTTTTAGTTTATATTATATGAATGTAAAACAAAATTGTATGTAAGATCTACTGGGGTTTAAATATGATACACTATTTTAAGCATTTTTAAATAACAATTTTATAGTGCTTATTTTGTAAGAAATATATCATTCTAAATTTTCAAGATTTTTGATATAATAAATAAATAAAGTAAATCATTCTGATAGTTTACCTTTTTAATAAACATCAATTTAATGTCAGTGAGTTTTAATTTTTCAAATTCTTTTCCACAGAATTTTGGACATAAATAGCCTTGAATATCACGGTTTAATCTTTCATATATTTTTTTAACTAAGTGTGAATATTGATAAAGAAACAGAAATAATCCTTCTTAAGATTATGTGAACGATTTTTGAAGCTTTTAAGATGCTGATAGTCAGAAATAATGTTTCCGAAGTGATAAGTAACATTCAGCCAATCAAAACTCTCATATATTAACTCTAAATGAAAAAAAAATCCTAATACTCAAAATAGAGTCATGGTGACTCAGAGGATCGAGCATTCACCTACCAATGAGGTGAACCAGATTCAAATACCAGGAATGGCTGGTCGATACGAATTGTGCTCCAGGCTTGTATGGACCAAAGTGCTGAGGTAAAATATATCCAGTGTAGATGGATCATGGGTTAAGAGTCTAGCCTTGCCATTAGGCTATCCGTGGTAGGTTTTCGTGGCTTTCCTCTTCTTGCAACGCAAATGCGCGTTAGTCCCATTGAAAAGTCCTCCACAAAGGCTCATTTCTTCCAATTTTTGATCCAGGAGTTCCCTTATCTTCTGGATCAGGGTCAAAATTACAAGGCTACAGAGTTGAACATTGAGAGTCGTAAACCCAAAAAGTAGATTGGCTGTTCAACGAAGGTTATGAAATAATTAACGAATCTTCCAGAAGAGGTTAACATAATTTGGCTGTATTTCATAATTTTGTCAGTTTATCATAGCTGTGTATATGTTACTCATCTTAATCTAATTTTTTTCTTATAGTGTCTGAAAACTTACACTGGCCATAAAAATGAGAAGTATTGCATTTTTGCCAATTTCTCTGTCACAGGAGGAAAAGTGAGTTCTATTTATTATTATTTTTCTTCATTTATAGTACTTTCTTTTTCTTTCAAAAGAACAAAACAGGTGAAAGTTGTAGAAAAATTGAGTAACATATTTATTTTTAATATTCTATTGCATAAAAAAATACAACTTAGTCATGAAATAAAGTCTTTGTCCATATTTTTTTCCCCAAAATGTTTGAAAATAAAGTTTAAAAAAAAGTATTTTTTTATTATAAATAAAAATGTATATTTGTTTGCACATTTGAAAATAACAACAGCTAATAGTATATGAAATTAAAACAGGCTATAAAAAATAAATTAACATAATCAAGATAAAAAATTAAAAAAACTTAATGAAAAAAATTAACACAAAAAGTGAAAAAATTTTGATGTTTATTATTTTCTCTTATGAACTTATTTAATTTTCTTTCTTAGTGGATTGTATCTGGATCTGAAGACCATATGGTATATATTTGGAACTTACAAACTAAAGAAATTGTTCAAAAATTAGAAGGGCACACAGGTAAATGAGCTGCTTTGTATAATTTCTGACAATTTTTAATTTGGATACTTTTAGCTCTGATTCCTTTGCACCATATCTTTAGTTTTACAAATTCAGTTTCTTATGTTTTGATCAGTTAGTCTTACCTCTGTTTTGTTTCTGAGTTTGTGTACACATTATCACATAGAAAAAATATTTAGTTGGATAAGCTCTTTAGTTAAAGTACTTGATTAAAAATTTGAACTTTCAGCAGTGTCAAAATAGCATGAAAAATGTTTTGATTGGCTGTTTTGATTTCTTTTAAAAGGTTTAGTTAGACTGATGTTCACAGGGTGCGTGGCATTTTTAAAAAGTGCTTAATTTCCCCTTTTTCAAAATGAGATTTTTCCTTTATTGGGCTGATTTTTGCTTTCAACTATGCAAAAAGACACAGTTCACATTGCTCTATTCAACGTTTTACAATTAATTAAACCCCAATCTATTTCGGAGTATTGTCAGTCCGTAATGTGTGAAAACGCCATTCGTTTTATACAATTAAAAATTTCATGATTTTTGACAATTGTCAAAAACAATGCCAAAAGTTTTTTTTTTTTTTTGATTNTTTTTTGACATGATGGTTCAAACAACAAAAAACAGTCAATTGTCAAAAACTTTCCAACCCTACCTAATTAATGATATTTTTTTAAAGTGCTTAAAAATATTTTTTGAGTGCTTGAAAAGTGCTTATTTTTTTTTTAAATAATTTGGCTATGCACCCTGTGTTCAAATTAAAAGAATTTTCAGATTTTGCCAATTATCTTCAAACTAGAGAATTGATTTAATTAAAATTTAGCATGAAGTAATTGCAAATTTAGCTGTTATGCAAACCAATGATCAATATAAGTATGAACCACTGATTACAGAATCAAACTATAAAAAATAGGTTAATACAGAATATATTTCTCTCCTATTCATCAAGGCTTACAATAACTATAAAAAAAGTAAACAGAAGGTTTCTAGACCTCATACCAAGTGTTTTTTCAAGACATGGAGAGTTGTGTAGACATCCAACATAATCTTAGCTTAGCCTAGAACATTTAATCATAATTGCGGTAATGGTCAATTTCTGAGGCGTTGGAGGGTAGTTGGCAGGTCTCTGGCTTTCTCCAATTTGAACTTATTCCAACGTTCTAGAAATCAGCCATTATTGCAGCAGACGTTCTATAAGCGGGGCAAAAGCATTGATATGAGGTATTGAGATAATGTCTTGCACAAGGTTGGCAAGGTTTAGGACAGAATGGATTAATCCACAGTTTAAACCGTCCTGTCCAAAACCCTTTTACTCAAATTATGTCACAATTTTATCTGAACAATATTTAAGAGGTAAAATAAACATAGAACTAATAACATATTGATTATTAAATCTACTACAGAATATTTGTTTTTAAAAGTATAATGTTTTATTAATATTGTTTGACTCTTCAATGTAAACATTAAACAAAGGAAGATTAATCAGTAATCAAGTTCAATTGGTCCTCTCATTCAATAGTTCATAACTGAAGATGGACCTTGCCATACAGGTTAAGCTATTAGGGACTAAGTGCTTGGTTAGTCAAAAACAGGTTTATTTACCTATAGTACTATTCAAGAATACTGTTATTTCATTCATGTTCAATTCTTTTAGCATAGTGGTGATACATCACCAGTGTCAGTAACTGAAACTGATGTTATGCCCTTCAAAACTGTTAATACATTTTTCAGTTATTTTGTATTTTCAATTTAAACTAATATATTTATATTTAAAAACAATTTTTTTTAAAA